GTCCACGACATGATCACGTCGCCTCTCTCCGTTTCGGTGCGCCTGACTGCGCAGCGCGGGCAGGCATGCTGATTAAGCTTGCTGTTGCCCAACGCTTGTTCTACATTGCGCACGCAGGAGTCGACGCGCGCCTCTTTCCGTTGCGCGACGGCAGATGTCCGGAGAGCGTCGGCGAGGGCTTCGCTGCGACGCGCGCATGAATGGCGCGCTGGCTGTCTCGCAGCTTCCACGTTCAAATGCACGGGGGCGCTCCCTCGCCATGGTTAGCAAGCACTGGCCGCGCGGCACCGCATCCCACGGGCGCTGTCGCAGCACCAGTTGCCTGGAGAGCTGGGGCGCATAATCTCAGGCTCGCCGGCGTAGAAAGTAGAACGGGGATCCCGAAGGCGAGGGAGAACGCGCCGCAAGGTCTGGTCCGACCTCTTCGTCGCCCACCACCCCGATTGATGCGCCACGCACGCGTTCATCCTCGAAGATGGGACGGCGCGGCAGTAATGCCTAACGCTCGGACTCTTGCGTTTCGGGCAGTCTCCGCGCGCCGACGATGGTCGCCCTTGTCAGAGCCACGGAAGTCTCTGGCGGCACGCTCAGAAGGCAGTCGTCGATGGAGCGCGATGCGCCCAGCTAGCAGCACTCCATCACGTCGCGAAAGACAAGGCGCAAGTACTCATCGGTGGCTTCGATGTCGTGGAGGTGCTCCTGGTGGCTATACTCAGGCAGGCCGGAGTGCTTGCCGGCGCCGACAAGCGAGGTATCTGAGGCGGCGGTCGAGTGCCCTAGCGGGTCAGGACGTCCACGAGCAAGACGGATAGGTGCACCGCATTGCCGGTCGGTTACTGTCTGCGGCTCTTTCCCTCGCCCGGAGATCGCGACCAATTGCGCGCGCCTTCGCCTCGTCATGTGCCTCGCCAGCCGAAGATCGCATTCTCGCGCGCTTCGTCGGCGAAGGCGGCGACGTGCGTTTGCGCGCCCTGGCCTGCGAGACGTCTCCGCCCTTCCGCGCCCTGCCCCCCTGAGGGCGCGCGCCGCGAGGCGTCTGACTCGGCGCGCGGGCGGTCGCACGTGGCGTCGCTGGTAGAGGGCGCTGCTCATTATAGCGATTCGGCGTCGCTGCCGTCGCGGCACTGGTTCATGTAACATGGCATCTGGGCGAGTTGGTTTTCTCGTAGAAAGTCGGCAATATCGCCCCAAGCATGGTTCGTGCCTTGTCGGAAGAGAAAGCGTCCACGTCCGCGCCACTGTCCTCCTCCTCCTCGGACGGGTTACCCCACATCGTCGACGCTGGCGCGGACGGAGATGCAGCTGGCGTCGCTGGCGGGGCCCAGACTGTCAAATTTCCTTGGGCGCCTTGGCGAGCCGGGGCCGACCGTGGCCCAGGCGCCGGCGCCCCTTCTTGCCCCCGCTTCGCTAGCCATGAACACTTCCGCCACGCATGCGTCGGCCCCGGAGTGCCCCCCCACGAGTTGAGCTATATTTCCAGGCGCACGTTCGGTAATATGCCATCGTCGACGCCACGCCTCGAGCGCCTCGAACCTCTGCGCCAGGACATAGGGAAGATGTGTCGCTGGGTCGGCGCGGACTCCGTTTACCTCCGCTCCGGAATTGATCGCGGCAGGCGGCATCCGCATCGCCAGTGCACGAGCGAGGCCTCGAAGTCCTCGCTGCAGGGCAGCCGCCTGTCGGGGCGCGGACATCCGTCCTGAGTGAACGTTCAGCCAGGCGTAGACTTCGCGCATCCACGCGCGGCATGGGATACATCCAGCGGGGCCCAAGGCGGGACCTCGCGCGTGATCTCCCTCTCGCTCGCAGCTCATGTCCAGCGAGAGCTCCTATAGCCACCGCGAGCACACCGCGCACTTCCAGTTCCCATGAATGTAACTATCCTGTTGAGAAATGCAGAGGAAGCCGAAGTAGTTCTGGAAATAGCGACGCTGCCGGTCGCACCGGAGACAGAGAACAGTTCGTGAGTCGGCGACCACGTCACCGCGAGTGAAGGTATATGAGGTCGTCGTAGAAGAGGTAATCGTCAAGGTCGCAGACGTCGTAGTAGCGGTCAAAGGCCCTCGCGCGCTCGACGCGGGTGGAAAAGTGGAAGTAGATGACGACGTAGTTGCGGTCGAGGTTCTTCGCGCTTTCGAAGTAGAGGGAGAGGTGGGAGTAGATGGCGTCGCAGTTGCTGTCGAGTTCCTCGCTCGCTCGACGTAGTGGTTGAGGAGAGGAAGGCATTCATCATGACGGTCGAGTCTCCTCGCGTGTCTGAAATCAAGGTAGTAGAATATGTCGGCGCAGTGGTAGCGTTGGTGTAAGTACCCACATACATAGAGGTCGAAGTCGAAGTTGTCCGCGTTGCTCTTGTTGTAGTCCTGCAGGTCTCCACCAATGTGCAAGTCATATGCCACCAGTTGCAGCAGCTCCGCTACTAAGTTTGACACCAACGTTCCAACACACAAAAAATGACTGAGTAAACTGTAGTGTCGATACGTGGAACAAGATTGTGGAGGAGAAAAGGGCCCCTTTCTCTCCTGTCAGCACCTAGAATAGAGTTCCGGTTGTGCCGCCGATGGTGGCAGATTGGGCGGCGCAGCCTTGAGCCGAAACGGCAACGAGATCACGCAAGCTTATGTCCCCCCATGGGGCATACCCTCAAAGTTGGGCCCCGTCGCGGCTTGTCGCACGACATTTCCGGGTCCAAGAAGGCACCAGGATGGGCCCAGAGGGCCCCAAGAGGGCCCCAAGACGGCCCAAGAGGGTCCCGAGTCGCCGAATGATCGGCCCAAGACAACAAAGATGGCCCAGAGACGGCACAGCAGGCTTCCAAGACGCCCAAAAGGCCTCCCGAGAGGACCCCAAGGGGAACAAATTATTGATTTGCCGTCGGTGTTTGAAGGATTTTGGCGTTCTCGCCTTTTCGGCTTCCCGACGCTCCACGACGGCCACGAGGCCCCCAAGATCGCTCAAAGACGGCCCCAGCGGCCCCCAAGAGGGGCCCAAGACGGGCCAAGCGGACCCCAATAATGCCCAAGAGGTGCCCAAAACGGCCCAAGAAGGCCCAAAGACGGCCACAAGAGGGGGCCCAGATGGAGAGCCCGAACGGACATTGCGAGCCCTCGGCCCCGAGGGGCCACCAGGAGGCTCCAAGAGGCCCCCGAGAGGCCCCAAACGACTACCGAGAGGACCCAAGAGGCCCCTGAAACGCTCCAAGGAGGCAACCAAAACTGCTCCCAAGAGGCCTCCGAGAGCGCTCCGAAGAGGCCCGAAGAAGCATTCACCACCCAGGCACGGTGGCGGGATGGGCCGAAGGCCATCCGAAAGGCCATTCGGATCCGCCGCCCACTGTGGGCTTGCCACAAGGGTGGCTGGCGTGCGGAACGGAGCTCTTTTTCCAAAAGAACCCTCCCCTGGGGCGTCGGCGCGTCCCGCCGGCCACCCGAAGACCCGGCTGCAAAAATTGTCCCGGCCCAGATGGCTCCAAGAAAGCCCTAAATGGCTGCCAAGATGGCCTAGATGGCCTCCACGTTCGCACAAGAGGATCCAGGATGTCCTCCAAGACTGACCAAGAAGGTCCAAGATGCCTCCAAGTCCACCGAAGAGGCCACAAAGACGGCCCAAGATGGCCTTAAGATGGCCCAAGACTGCCCAAGAGGCCCCACAGAGGCCTCCAGGACTGCCCAAGAGGCCTCCAAGAGGGCTTCCAGCAAGACCCGAAGAGGCCAAAATCATTACGTAATTGTCCTTAGGTTTTTGCAGGATTAGTACATTTGCTTCTTTTCAGCCTTCCGACGGCCCGAGACGGCCCAAGAGCCCCAAATGATCGCCCCAAGATCGCCCAAGAGGCCTCCAAGATGGCCCCAGAACAGCCCAAGAAGGCCCCAAGACGGCCCCAAGAGGGCCGCAAGACGGCCCAAGAGGCCTCCAAGACGCCCAAGATGGCCTCCAAGACAGCCCTGAAGCACCCCGAGAGGACCCCAAGTCGGCCCAGAGAGGCCCCCAAGACTGCTTCCGACGGCGTCAGGTGGGCCAGAAATGCCCTAAGACGGCCAAAAGCCACCGAAGCCCCCAAAGGCCCCCAAGAGGTCCAAGGAGGCCCTCAAGATGCCTCCAAGAGGTTTTTAGGGCGCTCCTAGGAGGCCCCAAGAGTGCCCCCAGAGGCTCCCAAGATGCCTCCTCCTCCTCCTCCTCCTCCTCCTCCTCCTCCTCCTCCTCCTCCTCCTCCTCCTCCTCCTCCTCCTCCTCCTCCTCCTCCTCCTCCTCCTCCTCCTCCTCCCCCTCTTGCTCCTCCTCCTCCTCCTCGACCTCCTCCGCCTTCTCCTCCTCTTCGGCCTCCCCGGTCTCCTCCTCCTCCTCCTCTTTCCCCTCCTCTTTCCCCTCCCCCTCCCCCTCCTCCTCCTCCTCCTCCTCCTCCTCCTCCTCCTCCTCCTCCTCCAAGCTGGCTCAAGACGGCTCCCAAGATGTCCCAAACGGCCCCAAGACCGCTCCAAGAGCGCCCAAGAGCGCTCCAAGAGAGCCCCAAGAAGCGGTTCGCGGGCTCCTGAGGGGGAGCTGAGTTGGGGACCCCCCCATCCTGTAATCGACGGCCTCCGAAATGATCCCGAGAGGGTTTCAAGAAGGCCCTCAAAAATCCAAGAGAGCACCCGCAGCAACAGCAGCAACAATAATACCTCTAGATGGTTCCATGAGTCCTCGTCCGCGTCGTCCTCATGCTAGTCCTCGTCCTCCTCGTCCTCGTCCTCGTCCTCGTCCTCCTCGTCCTCGTCCTCCTCCTCCTCCTCCTCATCCTCCTCATGGTCGGATAGCTTGGCAGAGCTCTTGCCACAACGCTCGGCCAAATGGGCAATTCCAAAAGGCAGGGGGCGGCGGTGATTCACCGTAAGCGTCTTCGATATGTGTATCCCTCTTCCTCCACCACGTGATCCCTCCAGAGAGCCCAACGTCCGGCCACATAGGCGTTTCCAGAATGGCAGGGGGCGGCGGTGGTTCGCCGTAATTAGGCGTCTTCGATCTTGTGCTCCCCGTCCTCTCCGTCGTCCGGCGTCAAGTCTACTCGAGTCATCTTCCAGTCGCCTTTGGAGCGGTCGGTCCTCGGAGGTCTGCGAGAACCCTGTTGACTCTTAAACCAACGCCGAGAGCGGCATTGCAAGTGGACGTCGACGACAACAACATAACCAAAGGTGGCACGAACCAGATCATGCTGATCGGAGCGAGGGATTTCCGCTGACGCGAATCCAGCATGAAGAATAAAGACGCACGCGTGCTGGCAAATTCGGGGGGAATAAACGTCGCTATGTTGAATTACGAGTGTTCCGTCTTCGGGCCTGGGGAAAAGGGGAGGGCGGCCCTTGGGGCCGCAGCGTCGTCGGTTGTCCGTTCCCTCCTCCCCTGGCTTGCTACCCTCTTTTCCTTGGACCGATCTCTGGGGGTCCAGCTGCAGCGGCGGTGCGTCGGAATGGAGGGCATGGGAGTTCCAGGGGGCCAAAGCTCGCCGCCGCGGAACGCAACGAAAAACGGTGAACGAGGCCAGCTCTCACCCTTGTGCGGATATACGCCACGACCCTGCAATGTGAATCCTGTTCGCATGGGATCCTACCAGATTGGATCCTAACGTGTGGAGCCGCCCCGTGTGCGACCCTCACGCGTGGAGCCTTCTCGTGTGGGACACTATCGTGTGGGACCATGCCGTTTGGGACGACCCTGTCGTGTGGGATCACCCGGGAACCTCGCATTATTGAATGTCTGATTCAATTCCTGGCAAACTCCCAGGAAGTTCCCGGCACCGCGCATTTTCTTCCGCCCCAGGAGTTCCCCGAGAGTATCCATATCTCAAATTGATTGACAGGCCCACGTCGACGGTAACATTAGAAATGTGCCCCCAGAAACTAGGGGATTCCTTACGATTGGCACAGAGACGATGCGATGCCCAGTATATGATATGCCTGTGTTCCAGGCAGGTTATGTTTATCCCCCCAGATTGCCTAGGGTGGTGGGGAATTTTGGCGGCCTCACATATACCATTTTACGCCGAGCTTCTGACCGTGACAGTCCACGCTTCCAGATGCTGTTCAGGATAACGATGGCCATTGCCGAGGCGCGGCTGTCAACATTCCCCCTATGCACAGCTACCCAGGGACGCACACAGGTGGGAGCCGTCCAGAACGCGACGGCTGCGCGCACCACGATCTGTCCAAACCAAACAGCAACTATCCTAACGGTGGTCCTTTCAAAATGTAGCATGCTGAATACAAAACCCATTGGGCTTTTTTATCAGCAGAAGAGGCTGGGGCCGCAGATGTGCCTCGGGCTTCGCACTTTCGAATAGCGTCGCTGGCCCCACCCACCAACGACGTGTGGCCGCACCAAAGATGGGCCCTTCCTATGGAGCCGCTCTGCTGGACTCCCCAGCGCCGAAGAAGGCGGCGACGACGGTACGCTTGGCAACCCTCTGGAAGAACGAGGTCCGGCTGGGTCTGCACCCCACTGGGCCCACCCGGGGCGCAGGAAAGCGGGGATGAGTGCAAGTCTGGCAGCACCGTGGAGCACCGAGTGCCTGTTGGGTCTGCGTTTTCCGCTACTCCACTGACCCCACTCTGCGGAGGAGAGCGACTGCACGAGTCACCACTCCACTGGTCTCTGCACGGATCCAGGGCGCCGGCCACAGCTCAACACCCAGGGATGGCGAGGCCCTGCTGGGTCTGCAGAGGTCACTACCCGACTGGACCCCACGAGGGCGCAGAAAGCTGCGACGGTTGAGGTTTCGGCCAGTCAGCAACGTCCAGGGAGGGTGAAGTCCCGTCGGCTCTGCATCGGCCCCCACTCCCTTGGACCCGCGAGGTCCCGTTGGGCACGCGTGGGACATATCGCAGATTGGCAGAACTCAGGGAGGGCGAGATCCCGTGGGGACTGCTACACAGGTCGCCACCCCAATAGACCCCCAAGGGCGCAGAAAACCAGCGAATAGTCAACGTCTGGCAGCACTCAGATAGGACGACACCCCGACCCCAAGGGGGCTTGAGAAACTGACGGCAATTGCACGAGTGGCAGCGCCCAGGGACGGCGAGCTTGGGTCTGCGTGGGTCACCCCACCGCTGAATTTCCAGGGGCACGGGAAAGCGGCGACATCTGGGACGTGTGGCAGCACCTCGGGGCCTCGGGGAGCAAGAAAGGAGGCCAAGCGCGAGGCAAAATGAAGCGATGAGACAAGCGCGACACGTGGAGACGTAGGAGAGGAGAAGGGAGGACGGAGGAAGCGGGAGGAGAGCAGAAGAGCTGAGCAACCAGAGGGCCCAAACACAACGATGGCTATGAACCAACAGCAGCAGGAAATCGACAACAGAGTTCCAAGAGTCTCATCGCATCAAGGCTACAAGCTCCTCCTCTTACGCTGCACCGCTAGGAAACATCCACATCCACAGTTGCTGGAATCCTGCTCTCGATCCCTGGACAGTGGTGGATATGGTGTCTTTGCCCCCTCGGGGTGGGGCTCGTGTCCATACGCACCACTCCTCGAGATGTCCTCGAGATCCTAGGTTACGTCTCCGGGGCGGTGGATGTGGACACATCCTGTCGGAGGGCACTCCCATCAGGCACTCTAAGGCTTGGTCGTGCTGTACACCAACTCGCCGTCCAACGGGACACGGCGGGTGCAGCTCTCCGGCTCCAAGCCCAGGTCGTCAGGCTCGAACTCGAGGAGGACCTGGGACACGATGTCACGATGCATGATATCATCTCATTCCTCATTCATGCTCCGTCCTCCTCCGATTGCGCGAGGAGCGGCGAACATGATAGACCCGCGAACCCAGAAAAGGGATTTAGAAATGCGAGGCGTGGCGACGTTTTCAAGACACCCGATTGGGCAACGGGCAATTGCAATGTTGAAGGTATCGATCAAGATGTACAGTGCCAAAAGTTGTGCCGTGCCCTGTCGTGTCGAAATAAAGTGCGTCATGCCGCGATGAGATGCGCTGTGCTCTAGGGAGTCGTGGACCAAGTCGCCCTGGACATTCCAAACCTGACCGAACTCATCTGGATCTTCGCACGTGGGTTTTGCCACTGGGGCCTTCGATGCGGGCGGTAGCACTGGGGCCGTCGGTGGAGCTCCCCATGGGGCTACGAAGCGCTGTGCTGGGCGGGGGGGGGGCGCATGCGGGCGGTAGCACTGCAGAGGCGGTCGGTGGAGCCCCGTATCTGGCCACGAAGCGCTCTCTCGGGCGGCTGCACTGGGACCTGCGGTGGAGCTCGCTCTAGCGCCACGATACGCTGTACTGGGTGGGGAGAAAGCGCACGCCGACGGCGCCACTGGCGCCGTCGGTGGAGCTCCCTATGTGGCCACGAAACGCTGCACTGAGTGCGGGGGACGCATGCGGGCGGTAGCACTGGGAGGCCATCGGTGGAGATCCCTATGGGGCCACGAGACGCTGCACTGGGTGGGGCGGGACGCATGCGGGCGGCAGCACAGGGGTCTTCGGTGGAGCTCACCGCGGGGCCACGAAGCGCTGCATTGAGCGGGGGGGGGGGTCAGAGCGTGAACCCTGGAATTTTTCAAAACGAAACCCAGAACCCAGAACGAGGCGAAACCCGGAATCGGCCCAGCCGAAACCAAGATCCAGGAACGGAAACCCAGAATCTCCCAGGAGCAAACCCAGAACCAACGGCAGGCGAAACCCGAAACAAGCAGAGAAGTGAAGACCAGGAATCCTGAAAGCTGAACCCCCTCGAATCCGAACCCCGCGACAAACCCGCGTGCCACCCGAAAACACAACGGAAGAGCGCCCCGTCCTGACGAGAATTTCCCCAGCGCCACTGGGGTCCGTCGACTGAAGAACCACGCCGTCAGATCTCTACGCGCACACGTTGTCCATCCAGAACATCCCTCGTTTACGGTGGGGAATCGTGCAACGGCAAACATCGCGAATGAACAGATGCCCAACGCCGAGATCCCGACATGACCGGCGCAAGACGAAGAATAAGCAAACGTCGCGCAGCCTTTGCGACCACCACTCGCGACTCCCGCCACTTCCTCACGAAAACACCACTTGCTCATCTCCCCCCCCCCCCCAAATCCCAATCTAACCTCTTCCCGCCCAACCTCGGTGGTCGGCACACCTTCCTGTTTCCCCGCCCCCCTCCATCCCAACGCCGCTCCCACTTTCGCGTCCTCCTCGCGTCCATTCACGTGGCCGCGCACCAAAACACTTTCAAAACCACACGCACAAACCATCCACATGCCTCGGGTTGAACACCAAAGCCGCGCTGAGATTAAGGCAGACGCGCCCGTCCGCGAACGCAGCTGATGACGCGACGACGGCGACGGCGACGTCGACGACGACGAGGACAGCGCGAACAAACGACAACGACAACAACGAAAGCACCGACGGCAACCGACGGCTCGCGACCTCCGAATAACAAACAGCATCCCCGACGACGACGACAACGACGCAAGCCGCAAGCCGCCCCAATTAGTTCCAACCCTCGCGCCTCGAGTTCATTGCCAAAGCCAATACATGATTTCACATCCACGGTGAACGCGCCCGCCCGCGAGTAGAGCACTGACAATGACAGCGACGACGATGACGACAAGGACGGAAGCTACAGCAAAAACAACAACAACAACAACAACGACGACAACGAGGACAACAAAAACAACCGACGGCTGGCGACCAAGAGGAAGCAAACAAACATCGACGACAACCCCGGCGCAATCCGACCGAATTCGACCATCACCGCGCCTCGGGCTGACACCAAAACCGCGCCGATATCTCGATTAAGGCAGACGCGCCCGTCCGCGAATGCAGCTTATGACGCGGCGACGGCGGTGGCGACGTCGACGGCGAATAAGGCAACGCGAACGACCGACAACCATAGCAACAAACGCAACGTCGACGACCGACGGGTCGTGCCCCGCGGAGAACAAACGACCATCAACGACGACGACGACGACAACGACGCAATCCGCCTCAATTCGTTCACACCATCGCGTTCTGGGCCCATTACGGAAAACAGTCCATGATTTCAAATCCACAACGAACGCGCCCGTCCGCGAGTAGGGCGCCGACAACGACAGAGACGAAGACGACAAGATCGACGGCTGCAACACCAGCGACAAACAGAAACAACAACAAGAACACAGACAACGCAGACAACAGCAACAACGCCAACCAACGACTCAAGACCAAAAGAGGGCAAACGACCATCGACGACAACCCCGACGAAATCCGACCTACTGTGGACAGCACCATGCCTCTAGCTGGAAGCCAACACCACTCGAGATTTCAGTTTTAGGGCAGGCGCGCCCGCCAGCCAATCAAGACGCCAACTTGAGACCGCCGATTTATCGCGATTGAGGCCATTTATGTATTCGCCGTGGTTTTGTTTCCCACTCGACCCCATCCTCGTCGTCCTGTCCTGCGCGATCCTGCTCCACGAGCTCGTCGTCCTCCTCCCCCTCCTCCTCCTCGTCCCCTTCCTGCTCCGACGCCGACGCCGCCTCTTCCCCCTCCTTTTCCTTCTCCGCCTCCCGCTCCTCCAATTCCTCGCCGCCACCTCGCAATCCTTCTCTTCCTCCACCCCCCTCTATCCCAGCGCCGCTCCCACTTCCGCGCCCTCCTCACATCCGTTCACGAGACCACGCGCCAAAACACTTTCAAAACCACTCCTGGACTTCGCAGGCCGACGTATTTTTGCCGCGACGACGACAATGCGAGGCGCCCCAATGCGAACATCTCCCATAGCTCACCTTGACTGCCAAAACCACGCCCAAGCTTCATTTTCAAACAGACGCGCCCGTCGGCAAGCACGGGCGCCGAACGCGGCGACGACGACGACGACAGCGACGAGGACGAGGACGACGACGACGAGACATCGAGACACAGCAAAAACAACGACAACGACGGCGACAAGAACGCCCGACAACCAGAGCCAACAAAAGGACGAAGGACATTTGACGAGGCACGACGACGACGCAAGCCCCGCCATTTGAACATCACCATGCCACTGGGCACCAAACGAAACCACCCCAAGACATTCATATCATTAAAGCAGGCGTGCCCGCCCCCCCGCGCGGGCGCTGACGCTCACAGCGACGACCGCGTCAGCGACGACGACAACGACGGCGACAAGGACGACGACGACAACAACGACAACGACAACGACGGCGACAACAACAACCGACGACTGGCGACCAACGAGAACCGAACGACCATGCACACCAACGACAAGGAAAGCCGCCCTAATTTTGCCGTCCCCATGCCTCGGGTTGAAAACCAAAGCCGCGCTGAGTTTTCAAGTTTAGGGCAGACACGCCCGTCCGCAAAAACAGCTGATGACGTGACGACGGCGACGGCGACGTCGACGTCGACGAGGACAACGCGAACTACCGACAACGACAACAACGAAGGCACCGACGGCAACCGACGGCCCGCGACCCCCAGATAACAAACATCATCGCCAACGACGACAACAACGACGCAAGCAGCCCCAATTGGTTCCAACCCTCGCGCCTCGAATTCATTGCCAAAGCCAATCCGTGATTTCGCATCCACGGTGAACGCACCCGTACGCGAGTAGAGCGCTGACGACGACAACGACGACGACGACGAGGAGGAAAGCTACAACAACAACAACAACAACAACAACAACAACAACAACAGCAACAACAACGACAACGAACGAGAACAACAAGAACAACCGACGATTGGCGACCAAGAGAAGGCAAACGAACATCGACGGCAACCCCAGCGCAATCCGACCTAATGTTGCCATCGCCGCGCCTCGGGCTGACAATCAAGACCACTCCGATGTTTCAATTTTTGGGCAGACGCGCACGTCCGCGGATACAGCTGATGACGCGACGACGGGGGTGGCGACGTCGACGACGAATAAGACAACGCGAACAACCGACAACCACAACAACAAACGCAACGTCGACAACCGACGTGTCGCGCCCCGCGGAAAACAAACGACCATCGACGACAACGATGACGACGACGCAAGCAGCCCCAATGCGTTCACACCATCGTGCTTTGGGACCATTACCAGGAACAATCCAAGATTTCAAATCCACAGTGAACGCGCCCGTCGGCGAGTAGGGCGCCGACAACGACAGAGACTACGACGACAAGGACGACGGCTACAACACCAACAACAAACAACAACACCAACAACAACAACAACAACAACAACAACGACAACAACAACAACAACGACGACGACGACGACAACAACAACAACAATAATCTTAAGACTGTTCGCCCATATATGCTCGAGTGTCCAATGACGCGTATTTCCCAAACCCTCGATGCCCGCCCTCTTTGTCTTCGATCGAACCTCATTTGGGGGGTATACCTTTCTTCCCTGCAGGCCGGGCCCCGGCAAGCGGCGGGGCGGCCGCCCGCGGACCGTCGACCTGGCCAGCGGCAGCGCTGATCGGCGGGGCGGCCGCGGACCGTCGACCCGACCCCAAGAGGGACGGACAGGGGACCGACCACGACGACGACGACGACGACGACGACGTCGAAGACGACGCGACGACGACGACGACGGCGACGACGAGCGAAAGCGAGAGCGAGAGAGAACGACAGCAGGGCCACGAAGGGCACGAAGTAGGCCACGAAGGGCGACAGCGGGGACACGAAGGGAATGCGTATGGGGCCACGAAGAGCGCGAACGAGCGGGGGCCACGAAGTGCAGATAATGCGG